CCGCCGTGGGTACCAAATGTGCTGGGCCCCCCAGCAGCCTTCGAAAATGGCGACAGTTTCACAGATCGCAGCCCCCCAGGGATGGCGAGGACCCATTTGAGTCCGCCGTGGGTACCCACTGCGCTGGCCCCCCCAGCAGGCCGCGAAAGTGGCGACAGTTTCACAGATCGCAGCCCCCCAGGGACGGCGAGGTTTAACTGGAGTCCGCCGTGGGTACCCACTGTGCTGGGCCCCCCCCAGCAGGCCTCGAAAGTGGCGACTGTTTCACAGATCGCAGCCCACCAGGGATGGCGAGGTCTAACTGGAGTCCGCGGTGTGTACCCACGGTGCTGCCCCCCCCCCCCCCAGCAGGCCGCGAAAGTGGCGACAGCTTCACAGATCGCAGCTCCCCAGGGATGGCGAAGTTCAATTTCAGTCCGCGGTGTGTACCCACTGTGCTGGGCCCCCCAGCAGCCCTCGAAAGTGGCGACAGTTTCACAGATCGCAGCCCCCCAGGGACGGCGAGGTCACATTTGAGTCCGCGGTGGGCACCGACTGCGCTGAGCCCCCCAGCAAGCCTCGAAAACATCGGCAGTTTCACAGATCGCAGCCCCCCAGGAACGGCGAGGTTTAATTTGAATCCGCGGTGACTACCCACTGTGCTGGCCCCCCCCACCAGGCCTCGAACGTGGCGACAGTTTCACATATCGCAGCCCCCCAAGGATGGCGAGGTCTAATTTGAATCCACGGTGTGTACCCACTGCGCTGGGCCCCCCAGCAGGCCTCGAAAGTGGCGGCAGTTTCACAGGTCGCAGCCCCCCAGGGGCGGCGAGGTACAATATGAGTCCGCCGTGGGTGCCCACTGTGCTGGGCCCCCCAGCAGCCCTCGAACATGGCGACAGTTTCACAGATCGCAGCCCCCCTGAGATGGCGAAGTCCCATGTGAGTCAGCCGTGTGTACCCACTGTGCTGCCCCCCCCCAGCAGGCCTCGAAAATTGCGACAGTTTCACAGATCGCAGCCCCCCAGGGACGGCGAGGTCTAATTTGAATCCGCGGTGACGACCCACTGTGCCGAGCCCCCCAGCAGGCCTCGAAAGCGGCGCCAGCTTCACAGATCGCAGCCCCCCAGGGATGGCGAGGTACTATTTGAGTCCGCCGTGGGTACCCAATGTGCTGGCCCCCCCCGCAGCACCCGAAAGTGGCGACAGTTTCACAGATCGCAGCCCCCCAAGGATGGCGAGGTCCAATTTGAGCCCGCCGTGGGTACCCACTGTGCTGGCCCCCCAACGGCCCTCGAAAGTGGCGACCGTTTCACAGATCGCAGCCCCCCAGGGATGGCGAGGTCTAATTTGAGTCCGCCGTGTGTGCCCACTGTGCTGGGCCCCCCAGCAGCCCTCGAAAATGGCGACAGTTTCACATATCACAGCCCCCCAGTGGTGGCAAGGTCAAATTTGAATCAGCCGTGTGTACCCACCGTGCTGGGCCCCCCAGCAGACCCCGAAATTTGCTACAATTTCACAGGTCGCAGCCCCCCAGGGATGGCCAGGTCTAATTGGAATCCACGGTGTGTACCCACTGTGCTGGGCCCCCCAGCAGTTCTCGAACGTGGCAAAAATTTCACAGATCGCAGCCCCCCAGGGATGGCGAGGTCAAATTTGAGTCCGCCGTGTGTACCCACTGCGCTGGGCCCCCCAGCAGGCCTCGAAAGTGGCGACAGTTTCACAGATCGCAGCCCCCCAGGGACGGCGAGGTATCATTTGAGTCCGCCGTGTGTACCCACTGTGATGAGCACCCCAGCAGGCCTCGAAAGTGGCGACAGTTTCACAGATCGCAGCCCCCCAGGGATGGCGAGGTCAAATTTGAATCCGCCGTGTGTACCCACTGTGCTGGGCCCCCCAGCAGGCCTCGAAAGTGGCGACAGTTTCACAGATCGCAGCCCCCCAAAGATGGCGAGGTCACATTTGAGTACGCCGTGTGTACCCAGTGTGCTGGGCCCCCCACCAGCCCTCGAAAGTGGCGACAGTTTCACAGATCGCAGCCCCCCTGGGGTGGCGAGGTCTCATTTGGGTCCGCCGTGTGTACCCACTGTGCTGGGCCCCCCAGCAGGCCTCGAAAGTGGCGACAATTTCACAGATCGCAGCCCCCCAAAGATGGCGAGGTCCCATTTGAATACGCCGTGTGTACCCACTGTGCTGGGCCCCCCAGCTGCCCTCGAAAGTGGCGACAGTTTCACAGATCGCAGCCCCCCAGGGATGGCGAGGTCCCATTTGAGTCAGCCGTGTGTACCCACTGTGCTGGGCCCCCCAGCAGCCCTCGAAAGTGGCGACGGTTTCACAGATCGCAGCCCCCCAGCTGGCACGCAGCGACGAGCGAGGCAAAAGGCAAGGGGGAAGAGAGGGGCGGAAAGGAGGCAAGGCGACGCGCGAGCAGTGCTCTATTCAAAACGAGAACCCAACGCAGGAGGGTTGGGAAAAAAACGCGAGGAGGCCGGGGCGCGGGGAAAATTTCGAACGGAGGATGCCCAGATTCGCCCCCCGCAGCTCTCGCCGAAACGCCGCGCCATGACGCTCTGCAGCTCCGCTCGCGCCTGTGTGCGGCCCCGTGATCCAGAAGATGGACAATCTATCCGAAACCTTACACATTCGAGGGGGATTCTAAATTACCCCTGCGCCGCCGACGTCAATGTTGACCTCAATAGAGGCGGTGCTTTGGGGGCTCGGATACTTCTAGCCACTCACGCCCCCCCCGTCGTCACGCCATTAATTCTAATTTCGGAGGGTCGGGGGGCATCTTGGGTAACAGGGTTCACATAGAATGTATATGTGCGGTCCCTCCCTCGCCGAGTCGTCAGAAGCGGCACTGCGTGCGAGCGCCTTTCGCTCGCGAGCTACAGCCGAAAATTCGATTACAGCAAGCCCGCATAATAAGGACGCTCGATAAGGACGCAAGGGCCCTCGGAAGGCCATGTCGACACTTTGCGAGCGGGGCGCGACCAGCGAAAGCGTCAAAGGATGGGCCGAAGGGGAAGGATGCAAGGGTAACCTTGGAAAATTGCTCATCCTTACTCTGAGGGTTGACTTTAAGAAAATGAGCACTTCTGAAGTCAGGGCCAATTCCCCCGACATTTCTGAAAAAAAACCTGGGCCACTCTCAGCTGTCAACGCTAGGATAGGCAAATGTGCTCAAGAAACTGGGCCAGCTATCCGGCAACTTGGTCAAGAAACGCTGACCCAGCTTGTCGGGAGGAGGTTTCTTCATCAGATGCTCGACACTAGATTGGAACTTCCCACGGTCACCAACATGCCCCTGCTCCGTTTGTCCTCGACGCGGACGACGCCCACGGCAAGCCTGGCAACCGAGGCGGCGTTTGCCCCTTTTGGCCGAGGCGCCCTCCCCAAGGCGGAAGTCCCCGCGTCGGAGCAAAGGGAGCGGTGGCACATCAAGCTGCGTCGGCATGTTCTGGAGAGCATTGTGGGGGCGGGCGGGCCCGCTGAGCCTCTCGACTTGGCTAGCTTACGGATCCTTGCTTGATCGATCCTGCCGCATAGCCGGGCGACCGCCGCCCAAAGCGGGGGGGCCCATCCGACCTGGCAAAGGAACAAAAGCGAGTCGACAGTTTAGCACCAGACATGGACATGAATGCCGTCCACGCTGCACCATGCGTAGCAGGAATGGGGCGGACCGCGCACCCCGCGAGAAGGGGCAAACTGTCGCTCCCGCCTCGCCGCCGCGGCCATTTCTCCAGACAGTTAGGCTCCCGCTGGGGTGCGGCGGACACTTTCCGCACGCCACTTCGCCGAAGCGCGAGCAAGCGAACACGTCGCCCTCGCATCGGCGTCGCGCAGATTCCGCCCGGCAGTGGCGCTCCCGCCCTGGCGGCGCGCGCCATTCTGCACTCGCCAACTGCTTGGCTGCCTGCGCGAGCGGGCGACTCGTCGTCCTCGCCCAAGCTCTGGACGCCCAAAATTGGTACGGATAAGATGGGTGCGATGCCCAACATGAACTGTTGGCCAAAGCCGACAGCGACAGCTGTTGGGCGGTCGGCTTGCTGTCTTCGACGGACAACCTCCGCGGCGGCGCGGACAGCGAATCCTGTTCAGAATGAACAGGGACTGCTGTTGGTCTCAGCACCCATTCTTTCCGCACCCATTTCGACAAGCTCCGTGCGCATGTCGCTCGGAAGTAAGATTCCGGCGCGGGCTCGCTCGCCGCGTCGAATTCAAGCAGCAGGGCGGCAGCGGGGCCGCGCGAGAGCGGGCAACATGACGAGCTCGCCCCGGCACCGCGCAGCTTGTGCATGAAAGCGGCAGTGCTGTGTCTCGTCGGCGAGCGAGGGGGGAAGTCAGAAGGAGAAGGCCGTCTCAGGAGGCGGCGGGACTCCTCAGGAGCCCTCGCGCCTTCTGAGGAGCCTTCTGTGCCATCGGGATGGCTCGGAAAACTCTTCCCTCTGACGGCCGGGGGACTTCAGAGAGCCTTCTGAGAAGGCCTTCTCCTTCTCACCTCCCCCCCAGGGCTCGCTGCCGAGTGTCGGCGCGGCGCATTCTTCGTCTTCGCCTCGCTCGTCGGAATTGCCGCTCCCGCCCCTGCGCGGCCCGCGGAGTCTTTTTCCGTGGCCAGGTCGTCGGCAGCGGGGCCGCTTGCGAGCGCCCTCGGCTCGCCAGGTGGAAACGCGCTCGCATCCGAAGATCAGATAGTGCCACATTTGATTGCGTATCATGGTATGGGGAGGAGGGTGGGAATGGGCGGGCCCTTTGACTCGCTCGACCTGGCTAGCTTGACCTCTACTTCTACTCTCCTACTCCGACTCCTCCCTCTCTTAACTCCTATACTCTTGCCCCTCCTTCCACAAGTTCCCCCCCCCCTTGTTCCCCGATTTGCAGCATCGCGGGGCTGCAGTGGCAATACGATCGGACTCAAAAAGCGACGCTGACCTCGTTCACCAAGACACCCAGAGCGGAACTAGTATTTGAGGATCCAGAGGCGGACCCAGAGGCAAGGATGAGACACAAAGCGATATGGCCTGCTTCGTTGCCCAACTTGCGGCAGCCGTTCAGATTGACAAGCTTCAGGGTGTCACTACAGCCCTGCGCCACAGCCTGGCCAAGAAGGAGACATAAGCCGCATAATCAAGGAGCCTTCGATTGACGAGAAGGCACGCGGAGAAGGGAAATCAGAGGAGGAGCATCACTAGCGGGGGAAGATAATGATCAGACAAGGCAGAAGGAGGGGAATGACAAGAACAGGGGGAATGCAGGCAAGCGCGTGACCAACGCCATGACAAACACTACGATGTTCCAGCGCACCTCTGCGCAACGCTCTGGCGAGAATTTATCGCATCCGTGTGCCAGGGTCTGGGCGAAGACGGGGGCTGGCAGTCAGGAGGCGACGAACGCGACGAGCTGGTCGCGCTCGGACCTTCGCCAGAATGGCTCCCGACCTCAGCCGAGCAGTCGCTGCTCACGCGGGATGCCCCGCCCCTCCCTCCGCGTCGGCTCTGAGGCGCCTAAACAGGCACAGTCGAGAGCGGCGAAGGTCAACGATGCCGAACGCGACTACACGCAGCAAGTTCCGTGACCAAGTGTTGACCCAACCCCTCTTGAGATCCCTACCCCAGAATCAACAAGGAAATGGACATATTTTCGCTTCTCTGCACTTGACAAACATATGTTCCTGGGGTGCATGGAGGGCTCCATCAAACAAAAGATCCGAAAGTTCTCTCGATGTGTCATCCTCTTCCTCCTCCTCCTCCTCCTCCTCCTCCTCCTCCTCATGCGAGGGACTGGACAAATCAAACAGATGTTCCTGGGGTGCGTGCGGGGGGCTCCATGACAAAACAAAAACAACAAATCAGGAATTCCTCTCGAGTTGTCCTCCTCCTCCTGATCATCATCATCACCATAATCATCCTGATCCTCCGCCCTTGTTCTCCTCCTAGTCCCAAACCCTCGAAGTCGCTTTTTCGTCGCAACGTTGGCCCCCGACTTCCTCGGGACAGTCTTGTTATCATCTGGGAAATAATCGTTCGACGGTCCCGCGGCCCGGTCCAGGGCCCCCAGAGGCCGAAAACTGTCACACGCCTGCCGTCGTGAGCTCTTCACGGCGCGAATAGGTCTGTGTTCTCCTGAGGCCCCCCCACTGACCCAGACTGCGGCGGCAGCGAGGCCTCTATGGCGGAGGAGGACAGCTGGAAATTGTCGACCATTCTCAGCTGGGAGAGCACAGGCATCGCGCTCGCGAACTCCTCCACGGGCGGTCAGAGAGGAAGAGTCGGAATAGGAGGAAAAAGAGAAGGAGGAGGACGAGGGAAAAGGACCATCACCACCTGCTAATTTCGCCCCCCCGATGCTCGAAGCTTCTGTTTTGTTGCATGCTTTCGGTTGGACCTGGGGTACCTGGAAACCTCCGCTGGTTTCTGGAGGCCTCTAGGGGTCCCCAGGAGACACCAGCAGATGATCCAGGGCGGAAGCGGAACTCACCAGATCCACGATGCAATCCCCATTTCCCCTCTGCGCCCCGAAAAGGGACTGAAAGGACCCCCCCTTTTCATCCGCAGATTCAACAAAGTGTCCCTCCTCCTCCTTCTCCTCCTGCTCTTCCTCCTGGTCATACTTCCTCTTCGCGCTGCTGCTCCAGGGGGGCCAGGAAGGAGGTCACAACACCGCTCAAGCATATACCGGGTACCAAACTCGAATCCTTCCCCGCTTCCGTGCTGCAGTGCGGATCGTAAGCGCGCCTCGTGTCCGTCGAAGTCATCGTCGTGGTTGCTCATCATCATCGTCGTCTTCGTCGTTGCCCTTCGCTCCAAAACGGGGACAACAAACAGGACAAGGAGGACCAACGGGAAATTATGGGCTGGGCAAAGCATCAGGTTTAATGACCTGGGCCAGTTATCGAAAACAAGCCTGCTCTAGACCAACCGATGAAAGATAGTAGCTGCCCGCACTGTGCAGCACTCCGACATGACGAGCAAGCTCGGGAGGCAAAAGCCGAGAGCCCGAACCAGCTTCACAAACTGCCTGGCTGCCGCCGCGCCACAGCAACCATGCGAGGATCCTAACACGTTGGGCAGACCCTATGCAAGCAGTATTTCGTCTCCAGAACAAGCCCGAACAAAAGGCCACCAACAGCATCTTACCGAGAGCCTTTGCCACAATATAGCGGAAGGCTGCTTCGGGAGCCGTGCTGACACTTCCCCGCGCTTTCGGAATGAAACTGTTGGGAGCTATTTCGGGAGCTCTGGTTGGGCCCTCTTGGGACCCTGCTGTATGTACACTCTTGGCGCTCGTTGGGGCCCCGATTGGGGGAACTTTTGGAATTGGAACCTTAAAGAGAGCCCGGAGACGGCTCCAAACAGCCTCCAAAAGAGCCCCAAGAGGGCACCCAGAGAACTGCAAGGCAGCTCCAAGAAAGCCACCAGCAATATCAGATTAAGAGCTTTGGGCTATCTTCGGACCCTCTTGGAACCTCGTGGTGCCTCTTGGCTCTAAGCGAGCCCGGAGAGGGCTCCAATAATCGCCTAATAGGGCCTCAAAGAGATCAGCAAGGGTGCCCCGAGAGGGCTTCACTGGAATTTCACGAAGGCCTCCAACAGGATCATACCAAGAGCCTGTGGTATGTATTTCTGGGCGTTGTTGCGGGCGTCCTCTTCGGGCCCTCTCGGGGCTCTCAACGACCCTCTTGGTACCCCGTCGAGTCCCCATTGGGGTCTTGCGTGACCCTAAGAGAGCCTGGAGGAGCTCCAAGAAGCCTCAGACAGGACCACAAGAGAGCCCCCAGAGCGCCCCAAGAGACTTCCAAGAAAGCCCTGACCAGTATCATACAATGAACCATTGGTATGACCCTGTTCTGGGTTGTCTCGGAGCCCCCGTAGGCCCAAGAGAACACCCAGACGGACCCCCGAATGGCCATGAGGAAGCTCACGATAGTCCCAAGAGAGGGCCTAATGTCCTGGTTGGCTGACCGGTTGGCGACCAATACGTATGATAGGTGGGAAACCTACAACAACAAAAACGGCGCTAAACGTGTTACAAGAAATCGCGTAAAGTGTGAAGCGCCTCTGCTTGGTTGCATGAGTTTTTGTTCACATATCAAGCTCACGGGCCGCCAGCCGCCCAACCAGTTAGGACGTCAGGGCCACTGGGCCCAGTGTACATATCCAGGGCCATTATTAGGGCTCTCTTGGGCCACTCCTTTTTGGAATACATTGTGGTTACAATGCGTTGTTGTCCAATATCTCCCTTACACACGTATATATACACACATGGGGGGGGGCGCTCTTGAGGCGTTATTGAGGCCCTCTCTGGGCTCTGGGGAGGCCGCCTGGGGCCCTTCAGGGCGCTCTCTTGGAGCCCCCAGTCTTCGGCCGAGCTGTGCTCCTCGTCGGCCCTGCTGGGGAATCAGCCGGGGCCCTTGGGAGGGCTCTTCGGGGCGTCGAGTCCCGACCCTCCCAACACCTCCGGCTGCCACCTTCATCATGCAGGTCTTCCTCGAGGGTCGGCGGCACCGGCCGTAAGGCCTCCTCAGTGTGTCCGAGCAGAAGACGTCGTCCATCGACCCAGGATGCCCTCCGGAAGCCTGAGAGGCATCCTTTGAGTGATCGCCTACCTTGACCGCACGGTATTGGACTTTGCAAGGTCCGCGCGGCCTCATGCATCTAGGCCAGAGAGCGTCCTCCAGCTTTGCCAGGAGCTTCGGGCATGAGGGGCTGTCCAGGCTGTCGGGCAAGATAAGGACTGCTTGTAAGCACGGATTGCCAATCCTCCGTGCAAAGAGAAGGGTCAAAGAGGGTGCGTTGGCTGCGTCCTATGGGCCGCAACGCCGAGGGCCCGAAACGCCGCCAGAGACCGACCAGGCCTTCGACGCGAGGGGGAGGCAACAGGGAGGGGGAACGGAGGGAGAACGGAGAGAGGCATACAGGGGAAGTTGTGCAAGCGTGGGGACCGGAATGCAGGAGACAAGTGCCAGGGTGGTGGGGGGGGGATCGGGCAGCCAGGCCGCGTGGGAAAGCTCCGGGGCTGGACCCGTGCTCGAGCCAGGACTCAGGGAGACAGGGCCTCTCAGGGAGGGAGTCGCGCCGCGGGCCTTCAAGATCGTGGCTCTGCTGTCCTGCCCCCCCGTGGTCACCTCTCACGCGACTCTACGAGCCATCTGCACGGCCCCTCCCTCGTGGGCGGAAGGCCCATCCGTATCAACGGCCTCGCGGGCCGGGCCTCTGGGCCACGACCCCGCGGACACGGGGCTTCGCGGATGCCATGCGCGCCCGCGCGTCCACGTGACAGCGTGTCCACGGGATCGCGCCCCGGAGTCCAGACTGCGAGGGCGTGGGTATGGATACGCTTAGGTCGGGCCTGTCCCCCTACAGGGGAATTTTGAACGAAGGACCAAAAATACCACAAGCATACTCCAAAATGGTCAAAGAATACTCGAAACATCGTCCCCAGACTATTCTCTTTACCATCTGGAATATTCCTCCTGTAGAGGGGCGTGCCCGAATTAAGGATCCGCCCGCCGCTCGTGAGCTCCCCAACTGGTCGCCTCCAGGCTCCGCCCGCAGAGCTTCTCGGACGCGCTGCTGGTGTCCAGCACCTCGAGCGTTGGCGCCTTGGCGGCTAGCGGGCAGCAGGGAGCAAACATCTCGTGATGCATCTTCGGGCTGCCTCGCAGGTCCCGTGGCGCCGTTCTCCACGCCGATTCCGTGTCGAATCCGTGTTGAACGCCGCGTTGGGTTCACGTCAAGGCCGCGTCAAGTCCGCGTTGAGTCCAGGCCCAATCCGCCCCGAAATCACGGCGGACGCAGGAAATGAGTCCCATTTACAGACTGGGCAGGCAGGGTTCCCCGAAGATGCAACGAGGGTGGACAGAACCTCCATGTAGCGAAACACCCTTTGTAAAAGAAACGACCCAAGACCAGATCCGGCGGGCGCATGTCCGCAAAATTGCGTGTGCGACCCTCACACGAGAACTGAACAAAGGGCGAATCACGATTGACTTTGCAGAGTGTGGATTCCGTCGATCTCCGAGTCATTGAAGAAGACGAGACGGCACTGCGGACAGAACGAGGGTATAGACGGAAGTGGGGACCAGCGACAGGGCGCAGGGGAAGCGCGACCAAGAAGCGCCAACCTGCAAACACGAATGCACACCACAATCAATTCCGAACCGACTCGTGCGTGACATTCATTATTATTATATATAAAAGTGGCACGTGTGTGCCCAGGCTCATACAAAACAACTGAAAGGGCGTTTGAAGCAGGAAGACACCATGACGGCGGGATCGGAGATGGAGAAGGGGAAGCTGGGGCGGCGCCGCCAGGGCGTGCTTAAGAGAAGGGGAAGAAGCAGGTGAACGCAGAAAAATGTAAGATCGAGTAAGAGCCCCCCCCCAAAGGATTGGGGATCGAGCAGGAGGATCGACGAGGGCAATGCCTCTCCGAGGTCAGCGTTGCGAGGATGTCCCAGGATGTCCCACCAGCCGATTTGTTTCACCAGACAATTCGTGGAGGGAACGAGAAGGAGTAGGAGAGGAGGAGGATAGCTGCTGGGAGTGAAATGCAATAGCGAGGTCGCACTCGAGCGCAAGTGGGGTTGCCACACCTTGCGATGTGTGTACCAGGGCCCCACAGAAAGTCTCAGGAAGCCCGACTTGGATACCGGAAAAGACTCCAAGAGGCCACAGGATTGTGAGTGTTGTGTGGGTGTGTGTGTGTGTGATGTGTGCTCTGTGTTGTGCGTGTTTTCTGTGCGTTGTAGGTGTTGTGTGCGTGTGTGTGTGTGTGTGTGTGTGTGTGTGTGTGTGTGTGTGTGTGTGTGTGTGTGTGTGTGTGTGTGTGTGTGTGTGTTATATTTGTCTAGCGTGTGATGCGAGAGGGGTGATTTGTGTCTCTGTGTGTGTGCATGTAGTTCTGAGGCCCCAGGAGGCCTCATGAGGCCCCAGGCGGCCTCAGGAGGCCCCAGGAGACCCTATGAGGCTCCAGGAGGCCCCCAGAGGCTCCAGGAGGCCGCAGGAGGCCCCAGGAGGCCCCAGGAGGTTCCAGGAGACCCCCAGGAGGCTCCGAGGCGGGGTCTGGGGTACCAGAAACTACAGAAAACCCCAGGAGGCCCCAGGAGGTTCCAGGAGGCCCACAGGAGGCTCTGCGGCGGGGTCTGGGGTACCACGAGGTACGTCGGGGCTCGATTTTGGGAGGATGTCTCAGGCGAAACCGCCATTCTCTGAGAATCGGGGTCAAAATTATTAGAATTACAATGTGTTTTTGAAGGTGTTATGTTAAAATGTTGGGATTCCCATGTGTTTTTGGTCCCTGACCTCACGATCTGTGAGGGGGGTGCCACCGATGTTCAGAATTTCGAGGATGTCCCAAGCGAAACGGCCAGAAAAATCGCGAACGACGCGACGCATACGCACGCATCGCCTCTGAGCTCTACTCCCTCGGAGAGGTGCGTATGATATATATATATATATATATATATAGAGAGAGAGAGAGAGAGAGAGAGAGAGATGTATACTAGAACCACGCGCGCGCGCTTCGCGCGCGCTTAGGTTCTAGTCGACTCCGAAGACGTTGTCAGTGGGCACTGTGTTCATCCCAGGATGCAGCTGCGACACGGCTCCCTTTCCCGCTTGGTTGATGGCCTCCGGGGGGTTCTTGGGGCCTCTGGGGTCCCTCTCCCGAAGCCGTCTCCTGGGTTGCCTCCTCCTCGTCCTCCTGCGCCATCCGTGGAAGCTGTCTGATGGGCCTTTTCATGCTTCGTGAAGTGTCAGGGCGACAACCATCATCAGCAGCAGCATAATAATCATAATGATAGTGGCCATAATGGTGATATTAATCGTCATGATCAGAATTACCACCAACAACAAACTCATCCCCTAACCTTCATCATGATAGCGATAAGAAGAATAATACAACGAAGGGTACAAAGCATCACCTGTTTCAACTCAGCATCACCATCATCACCATGATCATCGTGAGCATCGTAGCAAACATCATCAGCATCATCTTCATCATAGTCGTCGTCATCATCGTCGTCGTCATCATCAAGCTCATCATTATCATGGCCATCTTCATCACCATCACCAAGATCATCATCAGCACCGACATCATCATCATGCTCAGAATCACCATCATCGCCATCTCCATCATAATTAGCATCATCGTCATCATCATCTGGACCACCCGTGCCAGAGTGGCGTTTCCGAGCGAGGCCTTTCGGAAGCATTGTTTCGGGGGGGGCGAAAGCCTGATGAATCATGTTCCCGGACAGCCTCCTGGGAACATGAATGGTTTGGGGTGTCTCGGGGGGCCATTTCGGGTTTCCCTGTGAAATTCTTGGGTACCCCTTTGGGCTTCTCGAGGTCCTCTTGGGTGCCTCGCGGGGTTTCTGGGGAGCCGCCGGGCTGCTGCCAGCCTTCAGGCGGGTTCGGCCGCGCGCGGCCGAGAAAAAAAAGGCGAGGGCCTGGAGCCGGAGGCTGGCGCGGGACGAGGAAGAGGAGGATTTCTAGTTCATGTGTGTCGAAGGTCTTCGGAAGTTGTGGGTTGTTTTCGGTGGCCTTCAGGGGCTTTTGGAGGTCCTCGGAGGTCCCTGGCGGCGCCTGGAGGGCGAGGCAGACGGGAGAAGCAACTTCCTCCCTCGATTTTTCGTCGAACGTCGAGGGCTGACCTCCTCGGGCAGCCACGTCGCCACGGTTGAAATCCCCTCGAAAGTCTGGCCCAAACACATTCCACAACAACTCCTGGGGTTGATGTTGTACTCCCGGGGCCCGAAAACGGGCCCCTTGGGGCCGAAAGCTGCAAAAAAACCTTCTCGAACTCCGAACCCCGAATCTCTACCAAAAACCTACGAACAGTTTCAAGAAGAACCGACGACGACGACGACGCCCACGATGACGACGACGACGACGGCAAGGGGCAAGGCGTGGATGCTCGCCCCCCCGAAGCAGATGTTCCCGGAGGCCCCTCCGGGAACATCTCCCGGAACCGCCCAGGCCCGAGAGGTTTGCGCGACGGCGTCTGCATAGCGCGGCGCGAACGCAGCTTGACGGAGGGGGCGGGGGTGGCGCTCGTGTTGGGGCCTCTTGTGGTCTTTTGGGGGCCTCTTTGGGACCTCCTCGGGGCCTCTTGGGGACCTCCTTGGCGCGTCTTGGGGCTCTCTCGGGGCCTCCTGGGAAACTTTCAGGGCGGTAAAATAAGATTTTGACTTTTTGTTCCCCCTCGTGGGCCCCTGTGGAAGCCTTCTCGGGGCCCTCTTGGGCTTTCCAGGGCCCTCTGGGGCGCCTCTTGGGTTGTTTTGGGGCTGTCCAGGGCCGTCTTCAGGCCGTCTGGGAGGCCTCCCAAGCAGTCTTGGGGCGCTCTTGAAGACCTGTTGGGCCTTGTTGGAGCGTCGGAAGGGTAAAAAGGCGATCGAAACAAAAACATCGAACAACACAATGGATAATCGTCGATGTTGGCCTCTCGGGGCTCTCTTGGGACGCTTCTCTAAAGCCTCTTGGGGCGGCTTCGGGGTTTCTTGGGCTGTTTTGGGGCCATCATGGGCGTCTTCGGGGCCTCTTGAGGTTTTCTTGACCATCTGTACGACCCGCGTGGCCTGTCGTGGGCAATTTGAAAGCGGCCCGGGGCAGTCCCAGAGGGTCTGTGACCCCCCAAAGGTCACGGGGGGCGCCCATGGGGGAGGGCGGCACCGGCCCGGCACCCCCCCCGGGCCTACTCCGATATGTGTATATATATATATAAGGCCAGATATATACATATACATATACATACATACATACATGTATACATACATACACACATACATACATACATACATACATACATGCATGCATGCATATATACATACATACATACATGCATACATATATCTACATACATACATACATACATACATACATACATACATACATACATACATACACAACTATATACATACATACATGCATGTATACATACATGCATACATACAGACAAACATACATGCATGCATGCATACATACATACATACATACCGACATGCATACAGACATACATATAGAGAGACAGACAGACAGACAGACAGAGACAGACATACAGACAGACAGACAGACAGACAGACAGACAGACAGACAAACAGATAGACAGATAGACAGATAGACAGACATATGTGTATATATACACATTTACATACATACACACATGGGGCGGCTCGTAGATCGGTATATATGTAGCATTATGTATGTATGTATATATGTACGTACGTACGTACGTATGTATGTATGCATGTATGTATATATGTATGTATGTTTCTAAGTATGGATGCATGTACGTATGTATATGTATATGGATCGAACGGCCTTCGGCACATTCCACCACTATGCCAGGGTTGTGGGTCAGAGTTCTCAGGGATGCTTCTTGGGGTCTCTTCGGAGCGTCTTCGGGGGCCTCTTGTCTAATAGATTCGCTAGCGTGACTTGTTCAACGCGGGGTCCCTGGAATGGGCCCGAAGTCCGAAGAGCTTCCATGGGCCTGGTGTTTCGTCGTAATGCTTGACGGTCCCGGGCCCCGTTTCGGGCCTCAGGAAGCGAAGAGTGGTCCAGAAGCTTCGGGAGCGGGAAGAGTACCTGAGGGCGTCTCGTCAGGGGCTGTTGGGGGGGCCTCTAGGGAGCTTCTTGGGGGCGTTTGGGGGGCCTCTTGGGGCCTCCTTGGGACCGCGACCTCGAGCGCGCATGGGGGTACCGGAGCCTCTGGGGCGCCCCCAGGACGGCTCCCAAGGGCGCTGGAGGCCGCCTAACATATCCAGAGGGCGCACGAGCCTCGAAATGTAGTTTGAAGACGCCGACGATGGCTCCAAGAGGGCTCCCGGGAGCCCATCTTGGGCCCATCTTTGGCCACGTTGGGGCCATCGAAACTTTTCTGGGGAGGCTTTTGGAGGCTCCCCGGGCACTTCTGGGAGCGTCCTGGGCCTCTCTTGGGCGGTCTGGCGCCTCCAGGGGCGTCCCGGGAGCGCCCCAAGAGCCTCGGAACCCCCATGCGCACCCGAGGTCGCGGTCCCAGGCGCCCCGGTCTCGTGCACGGGGGCCCCGGAACCCCCATGCGCTGTCGAGGTCGCGGTCCTGGGCGCCCCGGCGTCGTGCACGGGGGCCCCGGAACCCCCATGCGCACCCGAGGTCGCGGTCCCGGGCGCCCCAGTCTCGTGCACGGGGATATATATATATATATATATATATATATATATATATATATAATATTATATATATATATATGTATATATATATACGTGTGTGTGCGTGTGTGTGTGTTTCTTGTTTTCTCGCTCTCTCTCTCTCTCTCTCTCTCTCTCTCTCTCTCTTTTCTCTCTTCAATCGAACTGACCAAAACAATCGTAGCACCAGTCGGCACGCACACATCTGAAACGTTGAGACTCTCCAGTCCTCTTCCTGCTCCCTCCCCCGCCTGCACAAACGGACGCCCGCATGGTGAGTACTGTTGCCGTCCTCCGGCCGTCTCCGACCGAGCCGCCCGCCACGCGCCCGAGCAGACAGCTCAGGGCAGCGTCGTCCAGCATTGCCACGTTGCTGAGCACGACGGCCTGCAAGGAGGAGGGGCTGGAGGACGCGCCCCGACGCTACGGGTGCGGGTGTACGCCCTCCAGCCTGCGCAAGAGAAAAAAGGAGGGCGCGGGCCACAGGGGTCTGAGGGGCTGTGGTGTTTGACAGGGCTTTGGCATTCTGTGGAATGCTCCCTCGAACGCAGGGGAAGAGGAGGCAGAGGAGGGTAGGGCAGATGAGGAGGAGGAGGAAGGAAGAGGAGAGAAGGGAAGTCGAGGGAAGGATAAGGCCAACGCATGAGAAGGGCCAACCTGTCCCACTCCTAACCCTGACGCCCTCACCGTGCCTGCCGCAGATACCTCACAACAACCCTCGGTTGCAGCCTCATGGGGCGCCGGTTGACGGGTCAGCTCGGGGGCACTGGGGGGGGCTCATTGAGCATTATCACTGTCAGGTTTCAATCAGCGCCGCAACTGCATGAAAGAAGAAAAGCCCACGAAGATGTGCACGGCAATGCAAGTGGATGTCCTACCGTGCACGTGCCCTCCCGCGGGAGTCTTCCACAGAAGTCCCGAGGACCCATGCAAGGCGTTCGCGCAACGGCCTTCGGCAGTGGTTCGGCCAGCACAGGCACGAACGCCGACACGTCCGCAGTCGTCAGGTTGCAGGCGTCCTGTTGAGTGAAACAACAAGATGTCCAACATCAGACCCACAATGTGTCAAACATCAGCTGACCTTCTAAGCACCACTGCGTCGGCGCGAGCCTATCATGTGGGTTCGCGCGCACGACGGAAGGGTAATTGTCGTGTGCTTGGACTGAGCTGTAGATATGCGGTGGGGCACGATGCGGGACCGCACGGAACATCATACACAATGTCGCTGATGTAAGATAACTAAATGCCCACGCACATGTCCCAAACACGAACTTCCTGAAGTCCGCTCTCGATGATCTCCATGCGTCTGGCAAGTCCCACGTCTGTTCTGAAATACATGTTTGATCGAGGTGACGACCCTCCTTCACCACTAGCTGGCTCATCAGCAACGAGCTGCGGGATCATCCAGCCAGTCGGCCGGCTCCCAGGCCGGTTGCAGCCAAGGAGGGGTCTAGGGAGAGATGGTCCTGAGGCACAGGGGATGAGACCTCAAAGACACCAGAGAAAATCTCGTCCCCCTTGCCCAAGACTGGGCGGTTGGATTTACAAAGCGGTCGGAAGCACTAGGTCTCAGAAGAAAGGTGCACATGGGAGAAGACTCCTCATCGGGGACGGACTTCAGAAACAAAAAAAAGAAAACGATGTGTTTGAAGAAAAACTCGGCGGGCATACCCAATTCACTGCGATAATTTCCCAATTCAACACAACCACGAGCGCGTTATCACCACCCGGCATCAACCTACAAGCGTCGAGCAGATTAAACAATCGAGAAAGTGCAACGCCTCCCCCCTCTGATCAACAAACAGAATTCGGCCATCTCTTAGAAGCGTCCTGGCGACGTCGGCGATGCACCCAGAGCCCTCGGCGTGGACAGAGTCGGGCGCCACGTCGAGGCGCATCGCCGATACATCGGCGATGCGGCGCGATCGCTCGGACCCCATCCGGGGGGGCCCGGATCCCTCCGACCCGGGGCGAGGCTGCGCCCGCCCTGGCCCAGCCGCGCCCCCTCCTCGGCTCTGTGCCCTCCCGCGCGACGTGGGGGGGGCCGCCCTCCTGCAGCGGGAGCCGCTCCAGCGACAGGCCCCGCAGCAGCTCCAGGAGCAGCGGCCCGTACAGGAGCCGCCGGTTCTTCATGCGCGCCAGGAGCCTGGCCCGAGGTGTATACGCTCGGGAGAGGGGCGTGTGCACACTGCGCGACTCCAGGTAGCAGCCCCGGGTACATAGCGAACCTTCCATGTGTTCCAGCGACCACCCACGAGAAGGGTGGCGTCCAGTCCGTGACGCGCATCGGGCGCATCATAGGGCTCGCCCTAAGCTGGCTTGCACAGTTGTTTAACTCTCGCTTGCACCTAAAACCGTGACCCTTACAAGATTCTTCGGCGTGACAACTGATATCCCTGACTGCGGTTGGCGGCTTGGCCGCCGCCTTCGACTCGGGAGGGGACTCTGGGAAAACCAAAAGGTACCCATACCGCTACCCCACCCGACCTCTCCCGGGGTGCGATCTGACCAGAATTGCGAGGCGAATCCAGCCGTGGCGGCGAGGGCCTGTGAGGAGGCTGAGGAGGCCCAAAAAGAGAAAAACGAGGAAAAGGTAGATGTATTGGTACCTTTTCCTCATCTGATTCTTCCCCCCTGGTACACAGACGGGGGCCAGCACTGGTGCGGCGGCCAGCAGTCTCCTCCTCGGCAGCTGGCTGCTCTGCCCGGCTATTTTTCACCGTGGATGCCAGGGGTGGCCACGAGGCGGCTCTGGGGTGGCATCTTCTTAACACCTAACTACTTTCTCGGTTCCTCCTCCTGCTCCTCCTCCTCCTCCTCTTCCTACTCCTCCTCTTTCTACTCCTCCTCCTCCTCCTCCTCCCCCTCCTCCTCCCTTCTTCATCCTCCTCCTCATACAAACCGACGGGCTGAAGAATTAAGACACCAGGCCGCGCATGAATGAGGGAGAGACGAGACGGTGGAACGAGCCTCAAAGAGTTTGACGCGAATGCTTGTAAAATTGTACAAGCACACACATGGCAACGGCCTTCAGTGCGGTTCCAATCGCGAGGCAGGTAACAAACCATGACACGTGAGTCCCCAATGCGCAACGATGCCAGCAATATGAACGGACCCCAAGCAGTGCGCACGGGGAGCAAGTGTGCAACCCTGTAAAGGTGGGCCCGTGGACACCCAAGGGCAGAGCAGGATACTTCTGAGCGCAGTGGCGCACGATGGAGAAGAGTATGGGTATAATCCGATATACCGCGCGTGTACTGTCATGATTTGTGAAAAGCGCACTCGCAGGTATGAGACATTGTGCGAGCGAGTGCAAGCACGAACGGGCAAGGGCGACGCACAGACGATATCGGTCCAAGCGCACATGGGCGAGAACGGCACGCAGGCCACGGCTGTCCAAGCAGAAACCGAGGACATGAGCCAGGCTCAGAGCTGGTTCGAACCTCACAGCATCGCGGCCCTGGCAGCCCAAGACACAGCGGTCTAAGCATACACGGGCGAGGGCGCCTCACAGGCCACAGCGGCCCAGACGTTTTCCGTCGCGTCGCCGAAGAGGCGGTCTGCTCGTGCGTCCAAGCGACTGGGTTACGGCATTTCGACTTGTCCAGCATGCAAGAGGCCATACGGGAGAAGTACCAAGACAGCGCTGGCTCGGCAAGCGCGCCATGACGGCGCAGGCAGCCACGGCATAGCGGTCCAGCCGCCCATGGGCGAGGGCGTCGCACGGGCCAGCGCGGTCCGACAGGCCACTGCAAAACATGACAGACACAGACACAGTCCCACAGAGCACGAATAAGGGCCTCTCAATGCAAACACTCTTTGGGGAACATATTCGGAGATCGTTCAGAAACTGCAGTGGTGGCAGCCAATGCAGCGACTAGTAGAGAGCAGGAACACCACCCTCACAAGCAGCACCCCAACAAGCGAAGCCGTCTAGCAAACGCACCCAAGGAAGGAATCGAACAAGGCAGGGCCGTTTAGTAAACGCCCAGAGCCGTGTAGTAAACGCCAATGCTCTGGGGTCGGGATGTTTCTCCCTTCCCTTGAACTGGAGCGCCAAGGAGGACCGAGCCCACGTCCTCACTGCGCTGCTTCCAACCGACTTCCCTTTTGCTCAAACACGTCGAAACTACTTGCTTTTGGTTCCCAGATCTGGCAGCTTTCTACCGCCAGGGGGGGATCCCTCCAGCCACGCACCGATGGTGATGGCGAAACGCGCTTGCTACGGTGAGGCTCATGGATGTCAGGCGTGATACGCAGTACGCCCACAACCCCCAACGCAGAAAGTCGCTGCCAAAGGCGCAAGTCCCCGACCTGTGGGAGTCAGAGGCAAGGAGAGAAAGAGAAATCGCACTTTGTGCGCCGGTGGCTGAGCAGGGGTCGTCTGCGCTGGTGGCTGGATCTAAATACACGGGGGCACTGTTGTAGCGAGTTGGCCAGCATGCAGAAGCGGGAAGGCGGGACAGGACGGGCGGCCGCAGGAAAGAGGAGGAGGAAGCAAACACATGGAACATATACAGACAAGCTCAGAGCCAGCCCTGGTGGTTTCGACCTTTCTGCGCACAAGGCCCTCGCTGCTCACGCCCGAAAGCCACCCCCCACCCCTGCAGCGGAAGTGTCCGCTGCAAGCGGCGAGCCTCGACGGC